CGCGCGCGAGGCCCGGCGTGTCCTTGCCCTTAGCAACACGCTGCAGCGGCGGGTACTGATGTTTCTGGCTGGCCTGGTCCCGGCTCCAGGCCGCAGTGATCGCTTCCGAGAGGGTCGCGAAGATCTCGTTGTCGGGATCGCCTAGCCAGGGATCCGACTTGCCCGTGATTTCGACCGTGAGGTCGTTCTGCGACTCCAGCTTGTCGAATTGCTCCTGCGCGTACATGGTGAGGTTGGCGGCTACCGCGTCTGCCTCTTGATTCGGGACGACTCGGATCGAGAGGCTGGCTTTGGCTTTGCGCGAGATGGTGGTCGTCGAGGCCTTGCTGCTTCCGGGCACCTCGACCGAATGGATGGTGAGAGACGGCTCCCGCCACCGGTGCATCAACGAGTTGATGAGCGCGTCGCGATCCGTGATCTCAGGGTGCTGCGGTAGCAGGATCCGTGCGACGTCTGCGAATCGCTGCTTTTCGGCCTCCGTCAAGGGAAGAACCAGGTCGTGGAAGCCCGGGATATCGACCCGCCCTTTAGGCCCCACCAAGCTGGCCAGCAGCATCGACAGATCCTTCAACGGCTCATCCAGCAATGCGCTGCCGTCAATACCGCTGTGCAGATCCGGGTGGTCGCTAGTGACGATCAGATTGGCATGCACCACCCCTCGAAGGCCGTACGTCAAACATGGGTTGTAATCGTCTAGCCAGTAACTGTTGGCCAGTAGAATCCAATCAACCGGTCCAATTTCGGGCTTGTGCTGTCGGACGGTCTCGTGAAATCCTTGGGACCCGGACTCCTCCTCGCCCTCGATAAGGAAAACAACGTCGCAAGGAAGCGCCTTTTGCCGTGCAAGATCCGCAGCCGCATACAATGCCGCCAGGATAGGCCCCTTGTTGTCCGAAACACCTCGGCCGTATAAAAAACCATCGATGGATGCCAGCTGGTACGGATCCGTGTTCCACTTGGTTCGGTTGGCATCCGCACCCACGACATCGTAATGCCCGTAGAACAGAATAGTCTTGTCGACTTTATCCGAGGAGTTGGCGCTGAATCGTGCGTACACAATTGGATTTGTGTCTTGTCCGGTAGGCAGGAGTTTCGTCTTCGCCCCCAAGTAGATGCAGTGTCGTCGAAGGAACGCTGCTCCCTGATTGCACTCTCCGGCAAATTTCGGGCTGGCCGAGACCGTTTTGAAGGCGACGAATCTAGCAAGGCAGTTGACCATTTCGTCTGCATCTCATATAAGCATCGTGACATAGTGAAAAATTCTGAGCTTACCATTGTTGATCGGTGCCTGCTCATCCTGCTTGCTAGACACCTCCGTCAAATCCCAGATGCCCACCGTATTGTCATTGCCTCCACTGGCGTAGATGAGTCGGTCCTTGAATCGACCAGCTGCAGACGCCAGCATCGTTCCTCCGTGAGCAACCCAGCTGCCCACTTCTTCAAATCGAGAATTAAATTTCTAGCCACGAGGTTAGACACGGCTCCAACGTCAGTAGAGGCAAGGGCATACCTTGATGACTCCATTCGAATCACCACAAACCACCAGTCCCTGGACAATATCGACTGCCCATAGGTCACCGGTATGTCCGGTGATGCGTTTCACCAGCTGGCGAGAGTCCAAATTCCAAATGTTTAGCGCACCCCCGGAAAGACCACAGTAGAGAAACGATCCGTCGACGGCCAGCGCAAGAACCGGATCCCTGTTCTCGAGCGCTGCTATTTCAGACGGCGCCTCGTCCCGGTCCAATCGCCACAGCTTGACCACGCCGTCGCCGGCGCCCGTGAGAAGCACCTCCTCCGTAGGCGATGATTCAAGCAAGCCTCGGACAAGAAGCATGGTGTAGATGTATCCATGGTGCGAGAAGAGCTTGTGATGGTCGCGCTTGAAGGTCAAGACTTGACCTCCTTGGATGACTGCCCGTACGCCATCTGCACCCGCGTCCGGCCTAGGTGCTCGTGACCCGTCTGGGCCCCGAGAATCAAAAAACCGGTGCGTGCGCTTCGACAGATGAGCGGCTGACTGTTTTGTCGAGACTGCATCTGTTTTGGAGAGGTCGCACCACTGGAATTGTCAGTACTGAGCCTTCTGAAAATCAATATAAGCCTACCTGGATGCTAGTATTCTGACCTCCGCAGTAGATCGTCTTCAAACTAGACGAGTACGCCACGGAGAAGATATCGCCCACGTCGTGATGAGAGTGAATCGAATATAGTCGATCAAAAGTCCTCGTGGACCAGACCTAGCAAAGTCAACAAGGTGAACTTCGAACGGACGCACAGGTAGTTACATTGATGACGGAATCTCCGCCACTGGAGAAGAGAAGGTCGCCATCCTCGGACAAATAAAGACCCAAAACACTTTCTTGATGAGCGTGTACAGAGAGCACGAGTTCATATGTCTCGAGAGACCATGCCTATGCCGCATTCAGTACATGTCAACCAAGATCAGCAGTTAGAAGTACTTACCACAATATCCCCTCCTTGTAGCCCAGCAAAAACACATTCGTCATCTATAACCAGAGCCAGCACCGATCGACTAGCCTGTACTCGATGTCCAATACCACAGTCTGGTCGGATGTTCAGATGATCAGGGCCGTCGTTGGGCAGGTGTTGAGTCAAAGGCCGATAGTCCCGCCCGGAAGTGGTGCGATCATCAATTCCCACTGAGGGATCGGGTTTCCCCTGTACTGCGCTGTTCATCGCTAAGACACGATGAACCAGAGAGTCTTAGCCAGTTTTTCTTTCTTTGGATTGGATGCTGTGGCGTCGGCTGGAGAGGAAGATGGTCTGCTTCGTCCACGTGATGCTCTCTTGCAGTGGTGTTGATGAGTCACCTCAAGAACTAACTACACCATAGATACATATAAACGAAGTTAACTGAATGATGACAAAATACAATAGAAGGCAAAAAAAGGGGTATCAACGATATCACTTCTTGAATTGAGCGCGCAGTCAACGAAAACTCCTTGGATTTCTTTTGCTCTTTTCCGTGGTGATGTCGTGATTGAAGGTGTGGCGGTGCAGATAGGAAGCAATGAAAGCATCAAAACGCAGCGAAACAGCCAGCCATATCCCCTGAGCAATGGAAGTACTCCTTTCTGACATACCTCGAAGGCGCTCTCGGTTCTTCTGACAACATGACTGTCTGCATATAGATAGTCAGTATTGGAAATACTGCTTCTATTTATTATCCAGCCTGCTGCTAGTACTGCAGATGGTATAATTAATGCTCAATACGAGGCAGTACTGACCTAGGTTCCCATAGAAGACGGGTTATCAGAGCATTCGTCCTGCATTGAGACATATTCCATGAGGTTCTAATCTGCAGACCTCAAACATAAATCAACTATCAGTAACACAGGGAAGATGAAGTAGGCAGATGCAGCATTTATACTCATCAGAACCCTGAGATCAAGGGAACACAAAGATATCGCAAGACAAGGGGAGAATGATGAATTAACAAGAGACAAGGAATGAATGAAAGAGTCACAGTCACATTGACTTATCTACCCTAGCTGAGATATGAATAAGATACTGTAAGTACATGATTCTGTGCCAGAGATACGGTGTAGCTTTCTGTCATGATTCCTCCTGCTCAAGGTTTCGTGCATGCGGCAAGACGATAGGTTGACCATTTTCTCCTTTGTCTGGAGTCAGCTATGACGTCCCTTCCGCACGTGCCTTAGAAGAGCATCTATCAGGATCCAGAGATGGAAGACCTCGTTTTCTTCTCATGTTAACTCACTCCTTTTTCAATATGATGGAAAGAGTCGGATATTGGGCTAAAATTACGCGTATTGTAAGACTATACCAGGCGAGATTACGTAATGAGTGGCAGTGCACCAGCCACAGTGGCGGTGACAGATCTCACCAATCAGAATCCACAGCATCACCGCTATTCTCCACCACTTGATACCTGACATAAGGTATTGGCATGTGCCTCAATTAATTATCATCAAGGAGCTTCTCAAACAACAATAAATCATGGATAGTCGATCAGATTTATCAGACGACAGAAGTACCTCCTGATAGCTCATAAACAGCAATGACTTCTCGGAGGATATGCCGTTGTGCCCAACCAACTCTACTGGCCCGACTCCCGAGTACAGTAGTGCAGCCAACGATCGTGGATGGTGATGCAGCCGAGCATCCTGATCGTGTTGTGCCAGCAAATCGGCGTCCCCGCGAATCTTCTAAATCGGGGTGGCTTAATGGCTAACCCTGCTGCCTTTGCAACCCAACCAGAGACCAGCAAGCACTAATCTCCCTCATACAGGCTCACTTTTCCAAGGCCTCAACGGTGATTTGACTCCAACGCCTGGAAAATCCAGGCTGTACTGCTCCGCCAGCTATATATCACACCCAACCAGGCCGACACTCTCGCGGGATTACATCCTGTTCGCTGCTTTGCTCTTATTTTAGGCGCCGAATCTTGCTACAAGTTACAACTGTCAACCATCCCAGCCTCCGCATTTCTTTTCTTTCATTCATACTTCCAAGTTCCAACACTTGAGTTGTTCGTGTTCTTGGCCACCCTGACTCAGTACAGTCATCGTATATTTGTTGGTCAGGATCTTTCCGTACTCAGCTTTTAAGATTTCGATCTCAGCTGAGAATTTCTACTTTGGAACAGGCACCAGTTTTCTTTGTTCCTTTTTCGCCTCCAGGTCTCTGTCCGTGCTCGTTGGTTATCTGGATATTTTTAAGGCATCTTATCTTGTTCTTTGAGTTTTCCCTGGCGGAGAATAAATAGGAATAAGGGGAAAGGCCCCGGTTCTCCACCCGCCGACACATCCAGGCTCCATATCTATCTATACCTACCTATCTGCTCTTCACCGCTTGATCTCGGAGCCACCACCGACTGCGCTCAAAATTCTATGAATCACTCGTCTATGCTGATGGAACTTGACGATTGACAGCCGTGGACTCTATCGTGGACGACCTCAAAAGTCACTCGTGGTCATTGATACTGTCCGATCTCGCACTCTTTACCCGTCAGTATGCCTCCGTTAGGCGAGACGATTGCCGTGATCGACAAGTCCGGCAAGGTAGTGAGCACGGTAGGTACTTGGCACTTTTTCTCGTCGTCCCCAACAGGTATAATTCGATCTGACCACTGCGCAATAGAGTAAACATCTCTTCGGGGTCTTTACGCAGGCCAAAAATGCATATCGCGAACGCAAGGCTCATATTCAATCGGAGCGCAACGCCAAGATTGCCGAAAGGGAAGCTCTGAGGGCCTTGCAAGACTATCACATCGATGATGCGCCGTCAGTTGCCCCTTCTCGCAGGAGCAGAAGCACACATTCGCGACACCCTCGACATCGTCGCGCTCCTTCGCACTATGAACAGGACCTGCATTCGGTAGCCTCACACACGGAGTCCTACCACGCCCGTCCATCGGACATGACCCGACGTCATACGCATCATGATATCACTAGGGAACTTGAGCCGCGCCCCAGGACGGGTCGTTCGAAATCAGATGCTCATGTCGACATGGACTTGGCATACGGCGAGTTTCATCCATCGGCTCTGGTGAGGGCTCCATCCTCACAGCAGCAGCAACTCCAAAGGATCGAAGACCCTGAACTGAACGGTTTGGTCGGCCGCGCCCAATGGCTTCTCGAGGAAGCCAACTGTGTGCACCACAGTGCAACTGCCACGATTGCTCACCTTCAGAAGAATCCGGACGCCATGGCCGCGGTCGCGCTGACCTTGGCTGAAATCAGCAACCTGGCCAGGAAAATGGCACCTGCTGCACTGTCCACCCTTAAGTCGGCCGCCCCCACCGTCTTTGCCTTGCTAGCGAGTCCACAATTCTTGATCGCCGCCGGTGTCGGCCTCGGTGTCACGATCGTCATGTTCGGCGGGTACAAGATCATCAAAAAGATCCAGTCTGCTGGCAACGAAGTTATCCGGGGGCCGGGGGAAGAGGACAGAGAGTCCGTCATCGTGGAAGACATGATTGAATTCGATACCGATTGTCTTAGCGGAGTCGAGATGTGGCGGCGTGGTGTCGCTGACGCTGAAGCAGGTAGCCTCGGCACGTCTGTCGACGGTGAATTCATCACCCCCACTGCGGCCGCTATGTCTGGTATCAACATCACCACGGCACGTATGATGCGAGATCCTCGATTCAAGTTCCACGACGATGAGTCCGTTGCTTCATCCCGCCGTTCCCGTCGCTCGCGGCCCCCGAGAGGCAGCTCTCGGTACCATCAATCTGAGTTTGATGCCAGGGCCGAGTCGTATGCGGGCTCGAAAGCACCATCGGTAGTTCCCTCGCGGACACACACCAAGTTCTTCTCCAAGGCACCCTCCAAAGCTCCCTCACAGGCTCCGTCAAAAGCCCCGTCCAAAGCGGAATCGCGTCATTCCGACAAGGACAGGAAGCCCAAGGAGAAGAAAAAGCGAGCCAGTCGCCTGCGGCTGATGTTTACAGCCTGATCACTTCATCTCGCATATGGCGCTAGCCATTGTATATGTGTACAGCATGATACGACCTACCACAGACGTGGATGTTCATCGCGAGGCGGTTCATCATTGACCACCTTTTTTCATCTTTCCTTCTTCTTTGCCCCTTTTCTTCGTTCTCTTCGAATCATCTCAATCTTTCATTTGCAACCAGGACATCCTGGCGAAGAGTGATGTATATAGTTTCTCTGCATATTTTCAGGCGTTTGGATGGGTGTCTCATCACTCCTTTGACTGGTTATTCAGCACGCGGTTTCCTCCGGTCAAACCGCTCACTTCGATGTTTGCACATACACAAAGGCATTCAGGATTAGTCCATGGGTTAGACTAGATCTGCCATCATCTGCATCCCACTCATCATCATGTTGTCATTTACGAAGCGCGTGACAGATCAAACGAAAGACATGAATAATGTAACTTGGATTTCCACTTTTCTATGTCATCATCCATCAGCAATCAACTAGGCATGGGAAGTATACTACAAGGACAGCTATCTCATTCCGCCCCTACAGCATGCAAACAACTCCCACCAGAATCCTTCATCGGACCTTAGGCCCAATCAAATGCCGGTCGTCTGGCGGGAAGAGTCCGAGTGCGCATGTGGGATGAGCGGAGAGTTTCCTCTCCTGTGTATTGACAAAAGCCGACAAAGATGACTGACAGAAGCAAGCTGTTCAATAGCTGGCAGATTGCATCTCAGCTCACTGTTCTAGATTGAGGATAGCATATCATATTGATATTCTTTTCGGCGCCATCGGCACTGCAGAAAGCATCCTTTGCCGTGACCTAGAGATTAGCCTCATCATCATCCGCAAAACAGCCCCCAAACATTCTAGATCTACTGAGACTCGGAATACTCCGAAATAGATCACGGAAGTCAGGCCAGAGTCTAGTAAATGCTAAGCTAACCTGGCTTGTGCTGAGACAATCCCGCGGAAGCGCACAGAGAAGTCTGGGGAGAGAGAGAGAGGCGACGTTCGGCAGATGCGGGCATGTCGCAGAGCCGGGCCACAGCCAAAGCGCGGTTCACCTGCCGCAGGTGCCGAGCGGGACGCTGTGGGATTTGACGCTCCGGATTCATTTCCGTGGGGTTCGAGACGCAAGCAAGGAGTCATGGTCTTGGTTATTTGCTGGTTGGGATGGCATTCGTTGTATGCAGTTCGCATGTGTAACTGCAGGTTGATAATGGTGATGATTGGAATCGGCACTGTTCGCCTGGACATCCCCCGAGCCCCGCATAGCTTTGGCGTGGTTGACGTTTTAAGTCTCATTATACGGAGTAATAGCTGAGAGATGAGGATCGGAGGTAATAATAACGTTTATTAGGGAATGATAAGTTACGTTTGCGCTCGCCGGGCTGTGGGGAAGTCGAGGGCCATTCGAGACTGAAATACTTGCCGCTTCTCCCGTCGAGAGTAGATATATTCTTTCGTTCATCCATGCTACTGCTTCGTCGTTTTCCATAGAATACTATTTGGCACGTCGGTGGCGAAGTGTGTATTGTCGACTTCCGCTGTACTGTCTCATCACCATGATTGTACCACGGGCAAAGACGCCTCTCGAGGTGGTTATTGTTGGGTAGGTCTCATGCTGCACTGCATTCTATATTCCAGCTGACTGTTTCAGTGCCGGTATGCTACGTGATGTGCATGACCTACCGTAGGCTAACTGGTATAGGCATTGGGGGTATGGCTGCTGCATTGGCACTGGGGCAACGAGGACATCATGTCATTGTTCTCGAATCAGCCCCAAAGGTATGCCCAAGGGCTTGGGAACATGGACAGACGAAGCCAGACTGACTTTGATAGCTCATGGAAGTCGGAGCCGGTATCCAAGGCTCCCCGAACATGTTGACGCTGTTTGACAGTGCGTAGAATCTTTGCGTCTCAATGAAAACGGAACAGCTAGCTAATGTTCCCAGGATGGGGAGTCTCTCCCTTAATACACGCCAGGGACGTCGCCTTGGAATACATCCACGTCCGACGATGGCAGGACGGCAGCCTTCTGGGGACAATGCCTGTAAACAAGGCATATGGCCAACAAGTAGTTGTCCACCGTGCAGACCTTCACGATGCGCTGATCGAAAAGGCCGTGGCGTTGGAGAACGTCCGAGTACGGGTCAACTCGACCGTCACCCGCGTCCAGTTCAACCCTCCAGCCGTGACCCTCGCCGACGGTACGGTGGTGCATGGCGATGTAGTCCTCGCAGCAGACGGGATCAAATCCAGCATTCGGGACCAGCTGCTGGGCAAAGATGCCACCAAGGCCATTCCCACCGGAGACGCAGCGTACAGAATCATGCTTCCCCGAAGCGCAATGGAGAATGACCCCGAGCTGAAGCAGCTCATCGACGAGCCCCAGGCAACGCGGTGGATCGGACCCTACCGCCATATCATCGCCTATCCGGTCCGCAACCACCAGCTATACAACATCGTCCTGCTCCACCCGGACCGCACCGATGTCGAAGAGTCATGGACGACCAAGGGCTCGAAGCAGATGATGGTCGATGACTATCGCGGATGGGACAGACGAGTAACGAAGCTCATCGACCTGGTCAGGGACAACGAAGTCCTCGAGTGGAAGCTGTGCCAGCACCCGCCTCTAAAGACGTGGATCAAGGGCCGCGTGGCCTTGCTCGGCGATGCCTGCCATCCAATGCTGTAAGCTAATCGCAACCGTCCCGAGTATCCATTACTAACCCACGCAGTCCATACGTCGGCCAAGGTGCCGCCCAGGCAGTCGAAGACGCCGCCGCCCTCGGCGTCCTCCTATCCACCATCTCCTCGCGGAGCGAAATCCCCCTTGCCCTAGCGGCATACGAAAAGTCGCGCAAACACCGCGCAGAGACAGTGCAGCAGTCCGGCACCGTCAATCGCGCGACACTGCATCTCCCCGACGGGCCGGAACAGCGAGCCCGCGACGACCAGTTCCGCGCGTCGATGAACGGGGCATCGAATCCCGACAAATGGGCCGATCTGGGGACGCAGAAATTCCTCTGGGGCTGGGATGCAGAGAAGGTGGCTCTGGAGACCTGGGAAGGTGAATTCTCTTTTAAGCTGGTTATGTGAACGAGACAGCTAACGATGATTGTTTTGTGTTCTGGCAGAACTTCGGGGGAACCGCTTGACAGCAACGCGACATCATTTGTGATGTGGTCGCAAGTTTAAATCTTTCATCTCCTCCCTTAGCGCGTTAAGCAGGTTCTGTCATGCTTTATTTTCTGCAGAACTATCTTCATGGTAGACTTGGTGTACATATATTTCGTTATTTCGGGTTCTAGCTTTTCTGCTGATGAGTGACAATCTATGGACTCTACACAATTTTATGGCTCATTCTTTTGAACAAGTTGATGTCTACACAACCTCTATCCAGTTCACTGTAAGGGAGTTATATCTTCTCCCGTCTCTTCTTCAGGTAGGGACCGCCACCGCGCCGCGAGAAGCCCCATCGAATCTGATTAGCCATCGAGATCTCCAGATTCAGCTCGTCGGCCCAGGCCCACACCAATCCCGGGTTCTTCTGGAAGCCACGTCCAACCAGCACAAGGTCCAGCCCGTCCTTTTCTAACAAGGAATTAGCCAGATGCGCGCTGTCAATCATGCCCACGGATGCCACTGCGAGTTTGTCCCCGACGGCGTTCTTGACAGCAATGGCAAAGGGTGCTTGGAAGCCTGGCTTCGCGTGGATATGCTGCTCCGAATGAGTGCCGCCGCTGCTCACGTCAAGCACGTCAATGTACCCAGATTCTGCCAGTATCTTTGCAAATCGGACAGTGTCCACGCCTCGCCAGCTGGGCTTGTGCGGTTGCACCTCCTCGAGCCAATCGGTGGCGGACACTCGCATGAAGACGGGCATATCCTTGGGCACATTTTCCCGGGTGAGTTTGGCGATCTCCAAGCTGAGCCGAATGCGGTTCTCGAAACTGCCTCCGTACTCGTCTGTCCTCGTGTTGGCCGCAGGTGAGAGGAACGACATCAGAAGGTAGCCATGCGCATTGTGGATTTCGATAAAGTCCGCCCCGGCCTTGACGGCCCGTTTTACAGCGGCCACCCAGGCGGTCCTCAGATCCTCGATATCCTGCTTGGCCATCTCCTTCGGCACAGGGTTCTTGTTGGTGAAGGGCACATTCGTGGGGCCTTTGACGCGGTCTGGCCAGCCGCCCATCTTCTCGGAGGCGGTATCGTTGGCCGAGAGCCATGGCGCGACGGTGCTGGCCTTGCGACCTGCGTGTGCGATCTGCACACCAATAAGCTGGTTCTGGCTGTGGACGAATTCGATCACGCGGCTCAATGGCTCAATCTGCGAGTCTTTCCACAGTCCCAGGTCCTGGGGCGTGATCCTGCCTTCCGGTTCGACTGCTGTTGCCTCGACCATTAAGAATCCTGGCCCTCGCTGGGCAATCCCACCAAGATGCGCCATATGCCAGGGAGTCATATGTCCATCGTCGGCTGAGTATTGGCATAGCGGCGATAGCTGCCAATTACCACTCAATGTAAGCCATTTTTCAGAGGTAAAGGCTCGCATAGTGGCTGGGAGGACCGGTACTCACCCCAATGCGATTGTGAAAGGTCAGACCCCGCACCGAAAGGGGCTGAAAGAGCTTGGGAGGTACCGATCCATCAGACTGAGGATTGGCAGCTGTGCCAGCAGGCGGTTCTTGTGCCGGAGTAAAATAAGAGATACCCGGGGCGCGTTTGTTCTCGATGTCAGGAGCAGGTCGCGACATGGTTTATTGACACCCGTGGGATTTTATACGTAGGGGCAATATCAACTGACAGAGAATTGAAGAACAATAAGGGATGCAAGGTTCAGAAGATACGAGACTAAAAGTCAGTGCCAACTGGCCTTGCGCTATTGCAGACCGATGATGTAACGTTGTTTTCGGTGTTCGTGCCGAGGCCTTACAGTTGCAAGAAAGACGGGAAAGCGACAGCCTTGAAGAGCTTCCGTAAGATGATCAAACAGTTGCATCTTTCTGACTGATACTTCTGTTTCAACCTTCCCTCCTCCACTGGTCGACCGCGGCGATGTCCCTAGATAGTACCTGGATGGTTCGGCACTTGTTTCCTTCCATATGTTGTCGAGATCGGAGCATCAGCGGCTATTCTTGGTCAGTAATGACTCGAGTGACTCCAATATGGATTCCATAATCATCAACTTTATTTTCTATCATTCATGTTGTTGTGACGAGTCATTTTATGCAGGCGCATCCTGTCAGAAGACTGGAGGACAGTGGTTGCTTATCGCTCGGCTCGCTCAGCTTGGAGCACTCGATTTATTCTATTGTCGACTGAGCCTTCGTCAACTCATGGCATCAACGGACTCCAGATGATCTTGAGATCTCTCTCACAAACGATCTCCTCGACGACACTCTTCCAAGGTCTTCTAACCTGGAGTTCTGCCGTTCTTATCTGGCAATGATCGCCGCCCCGCCCTTATCTTATCGCACAGAGCGATTTCGGCGGTGCCAAGAGCCCTAGTTCCAAACAGGCAATGCCCCAGACCGCCAGGTACCTCTCTATGTCTTCCCGCCAAAACTTTTTCTCCCGAAATGCAGGGAATGACTCAATCCAGTCTTTAAATACCCCCCCACAAGCTCCATTCCCTCTCCAATTGTTTCCTCCTCCTGCTCTTGATTTCCTCCCCATCAATTGCTACATCACACATATCAACCATGTCGAAAGGAAAGGTCTGCGTCGCCTTCAGCGGTGGTCTCGACACCAGTGTTATCTGTAATTGCCCCCCCACACTTTCACCAGCGGTGTTTTGGGCCCGTGCTGACCGCCGATTCCAGTGAAATGGCTCATTGACGAGGGCTACGAGGTTGTTGCTTTCAGTAAGACGGATTCGAACTTTGGACAACGAGGAATGCATAACTAACTTTTTCAATAGCTGCCGATGTTGGCCAGGAAGGTAATTCATCAATGCGAGATTCAAATTGCGAATTGTCCACTCACCGCTCGTCCAGAGGACTTTGACGCTATTCGGGAGAAGGCTCTGAAGCTCGGTGCCGTCAAGTGCGAGATTGCCGACCTCCGCCGTATGTTTACTCGAGAGATTTGCCTGGGTGTTTACAATGGAATCTAATAGCAATGTAGGGGAGTTCATTGAGCAGCTCTGCTTCCCCGCCATTGCCTGCAATGCTATCTACGAGAACGTCTACCTTCTGGGTATGTTATGACCTTCAAAAGAAAACGGTATTGATGTTAATTTCCTTTTGAAGGAACTTCTCTGGCCCGTCCCGTCATCGCTCGTGCTCAGATTGAGGTCGCCAAGGTTGGTTCCCTCTGCTGATTTACTATACTAGAATCGCACATTGACAAGGATTGTACAGAGGGAAGGATGCTTCGCTGTTTCCCACGGCTGCACCGGCAAGGGTAACGACCAGGTCCGTTTCGAACTTGCCTTCTACGCCCTGCAGCCCGATATCAAGGTCATTGCCCCCTGGCGTGACCCTGCTTTCTACAACCGCTTCGCCGGTCGGAACGACCTCCTCTCCTACGCCGCCGAGAAGGGCATTCCCGTGACCTCCACCAAGTCCAAGCCCTGGTCTATGGACGAGAACTTGGCTCACTGCTCCTACGAGGCCGGCATCCTCGAGGATCCCGACGTCACCCCCCCCTCCGACATGTGGAAGCTCACCCAGGACCCTCTCACCGCCCCTGACCAGCCCGAGGATTTCACCGTTCACTTCGAGAAGGGTATTCCCGTCAAGCTCGAATACACTGAGGGTGGCCAGAAGAAGGTCGCTACCGACGCTGTCGACCTGTTCCTGACCGCCAACGCTATTGCTCGCCGCAACGGTGTTGGCCGTATCGACATTGTTGAGAACCGTTTCATTGGTATCAAGTCTCGTGGTTGCTACGAGACCCCTGGTCTCACCTGTCTGCGCGCTGCTCACATGTGAGTTTCCTCAGCCTGTCTTTTTCCGGCTGTCTCTAATTCAACACAGTGATCTGGAAGGTCTGGTTCTGGACCGTGAGGTCCGTGCTCTGCGTGACCAATTTGTCACCTACAACTACTCCAAGGTTCGTTTCTGCCAGGTCGCATTCTACTTTTGTAGGATGGACTGCTAACTGCGCCTCAGCTCCTCTACAACGGCCTCTACTTCTCCCCCGAGCGTGAGTTCCTCGAGGCTTCCATCACCGCTTCCCAGAAGACTGTCAACGGACAGGTCCGTTGCCGCGCCTACAAGGGCAGCGTCTCCATTCTCGGCCGTTCCTCCGAGACCGAGAAGCTGTACGACATGTCCGAGTCCAGCATGGACGAGATCGGTGACTTTGCTCCCACCGAGACCACCGGCTTCATTGGCGTGTCCGCTATCCGTCTGAAGAAGTACGGCCAGATGAAGCAGGCCAACGGCGAGAAGATGTAAAGCGTGCATTTGAGATAATTTAGGATGGGCTGCTTGCGGCCCTGGGTCTTTTCGGGTATCTTGTTTTATATTATACATCTATTTGAGCACTTGACGTGTAACGGAATACAAAAGAATGAATGATCACCCCTGAACCATCATCACGGGCATGCCGTCTGTCGTAATCTGTCATAACTGGTTATCGTCTTGCTCCATGCAGAGCAAGCCCCTTTTCGAATACGGTGGAAGCAGTAATCCCGGGTCATTTAGTTTCCCCCAGATTCTGTAGCCAGTTGAGAGCAACCTTTAGCATGACACCATCCCAATTATCCACGGCTATGTCACGAATAGCCTGTACATGAATCTCTCCGGCACACAGAACAAGCTCAGTATCAGCCCGACTCGACGACCCGAGCAACTCACCAAACTGCCGGATATCATCCACATAAACCTCGTCCGTACCCGCGAGCAGCAGAACCTTCTTCGCAGGAACAGATCCCCAAAAATCCTTCGTCCCAGCCAGCGGCGTCGCCCAAACCTCCTCCTTCACAGGCTCCCAGTGCGAATTGAACACCTCCATCGACGCCTTACTCACAATATCCTTGGAAGCATTGTACGTATAGCTCGCAGCGGAGCACTCATTCGCACAGCGGGGACTGATACAGAGCGCCGCACGGAGCTGCTGTTGCTGCTGCTGACCCCCGCCCTCAAAAACAGGCCGGACAAGCGGATGCGGGTCCCGCAGATGCGCCAGCACCGCCAGCGCGAGATTCCCGCCCGCCGAGTCGCCCGCTATCGTGACGTCCGCGGCAGCATGGTACTGCAGCAGGTACCGCAGCGCGGCGGCCGCCTGCGCTAGTTGACCAGGGTACTTGAGTTCCGGCGCGAGCGTGTACTCAAGCAGGGCGCATTTCGCGGTCAGTCTCTGCGCGGCTGCGCGCGCGAACTTGAAGTGGCCTGCGGACAGGGGGGTTATGTACCCCCCGCCGTGGAAATAGAGGAGGACCTTCTCGCTGGCGCTGCGCGCGGTGGGGTCACAGTCGACGAAGTGCAGGGTTGCGCGAGGAAAGGCGCTGCCTGCGTCTAGTTCGGCGGTCTCATGGTGGAGGTGGTGGGCTTTACAGAGTGAGGCGATGGTGCTTCCTGATGAGCGTTGGAGTGCGCGTGCTTGAGGGAGCGGGAGCGTGTCGGCTACGCGGGCGGTGTTTCTCATCCAGATTGTTCTGAATGAGGCGGAGTCGCGGTTGAAGAGTAGATCCCTGGTGATGCCGAAGATGAGACGGGGGAGGGAGACGAGAACCCTTGCGAGTAGTTGGAGTCTTTGGAGCAGGGTGAGCCGCGGCGGGATATGGCTTTTTGCTCCAAGGGCCGTCATTAGTGTAACGGCGTTGGCGATATGTGTTACTCAGCGACCCTTGTCAGTTTTTATCGTGAATATATCAGCTAGTAGTAGAAGAGAGTCATCTCTTCCGTTTTCAAGAAAATGGATGGTAATGTTGATGGACTTGGACTTTTTGAGAGATAGAATCACGTGCCTGTATCGACATCGAATGAATCCGGCTGGTTTTATGCTTCTTCATAACTCAAGCATCAGGGCGCAATGACAATATGACTATCTAGATTGCCAAGGGTCAAGCTCGCAAGCGAGGTGATCTAGGAAATAAGCCTACTCCAATTGAAATGCTGCCTAAAACGATGACAGTCATTGCCATTAGTCGCATTCAGTGTCCATTAAGAAGCCAGGTTGGCCCACCACGATGACGATGGTCAAGTCAGGTAGATCGATTCATCCGACTGTCTCCTGCTACTACGCTCACCACTCCGTCACTACAACATCGCAAAAGAATCAGACTCAAGCTCAAGTCAATAGGCTGCCCGATGTCTGTGTCTAAAAGTCAGGGATGAAATGCAGTTTATCGGGCCCACCATCAACAATTGCCGTTTCTCATCTTCTGAAGCTTCAGCTACTCATTCGCAGTCTTGTGAATAGCGACCAAGTATCAGCAAGAGCCTCTGTCGACCTCTAGCTGAAATTTTGGTGTCTCCAACGCAAGAACACAAGCTGTCTGGGCGAGCTTTTCATGGCAGGCCGCTAGAGACCTCTTAAGACACCCTGAATTCATCCTTGACCGAATCAGGCAACAGTATACTCCTACTCGATATTCGATACTCACAAAAGAGCCCAGTTCGGCATCTCTTCATTGTGAGCAATTGAGTTCACTCCCTCAGCCAGGTTGCCATAAGGTCTCTCCATCGCCTATTCAAGATGGCGTTCAAGATTCCATGGGCGGCGGTTTACCTTGCCATTGCAGCCTCCGTCTACATGAGACCTCAATATACGATTTTGAACTCCTCAATGGCGACATTCGTTGTGCTGTCTGTGGCCGTTACTTCGTTCAGGATCGTCTATGCCCTCGGCCTGTACCCTAGATTTTTCACCCCTATAAAGCACATTCCCACTCCTCCGGTAAGATTCTTTTATTGTGCGGACTGAACAGGTTCTAAACCTATGACAACAGGCCTGGTCATGGCTCACTGGGAATACGAGCTCGTATCTCATCGAATCGCCTTTCGAAGAGATGATAGAATGGGCTCACAAAGTGCCCAACGACGGATTAATTCGTTACTATATCGTGGGCAACCTCGAGCGTGTATTGCTGACGAACCCTAAAGCCCTTAGTGAGCTTCTCGTCACGAAGGTATACGAGTTTCCCAAGCCTCAGATGGTTAGGCAAAGCCTTGCACGCGTTACAGGAAAGCATGGTGTACTTCTCGTCGAGGGAGACGAGCATAAGGTGAGCGTTCTCTTTGCTGCTCTGAAGTGAATCCCAGACTCATGGAGCTGCATCATACAGAAGCAACGAAAGAATCTTATGCCGGCTTTCTCATACCGCCACATAAAGGACCTCTACCCGACTTTCTGGTCCAAGAGCATTGAGATGGTCAAGCTGATCGAAAAAGACCTCCATAGCCGAGCAGACGCCAAAGACAATATTGTTCGCGTGAGCGAATGGGCCAGCAGAGCAACTCTAGACATCATCGGCGTCGCAGGAATGGACCATGACTTTGGTTCTCTGCACGATTCTAACAACGAACTCACCAAGCACTACCGGCGGCTCCTCGAAGAGCCGTCGCTCGCAATGCGTATCATCTTCGTCATCGGTGTCCTAGTCGCAGGCCTTGGAGTCTTGCAAAGCCTTCCACTGAGGCGAAACCGCGAGATTGGCGAAAGCTCCCTCTACATCCGCGACGTGGCCCGCCAAATGATCCGCAAAAAGGAAGCAAAGATGAAGAACCAAGCATCCGCCGAAACCGGAACCGACATTGTCTCCGTGGCCCTGGAAAGCGGCGCCTTCACCGAAGAGGAACTCGTAGATCAAATGATGACCTTCCTCGCCGCCGGCCACGAAACCACCTCCACAGCCCTCCAGTGGTCAGTCTACGCTCTGTGCAAGCACCCGGACGTGCAGACGCGCCTCCGCGAGGAAATCCGCGCTCACCTTCCCCCCGTCTCCCAGCACCCCGAACCCTTATCCGCAGCCACTCTCGACTCTCTCCCTTACCTCAACGCCTTCTGCAACGAGGTCTTCCGCTTCCACCCTTCTGTCCCGGGCACAGTTCGCGATGCCGCCAAAGACACCACGCTCCTCGGATACCCTATTCCCAAGGGCACGAGGATACTCGTGTCTCCGGAAGTCATCAACCACAGCAAGGAATTGTGGGGTCCTGACGCGGACCAGTTTAATGTTGAGCGGTGGTTGGGTCCCGGGCGAGCGAATACCGGCGGCGCCAGTAGTAATTACTCGTTTTTGACTTTCTTGCATGGCCCGCGGAGTTGTATCGGACAGGGATTTGCAAAGGCTGAGCTGGCCTGTCTTGTTGCTGCCACAGTGGGACGGTTTCAGATGGAACTGAAGGACCGAGATGCGAAGCTTGAAGTGAGACTGTCGGCCACGGTCGCTCCAAAGGATGGCGTGCTGGCTAGATTTACCCCGTTAGACGGGTGGTAAGGATCGCATAGGTTCATAGTCTTGCATTTATCTCGCGGCTTGCACCAGGTTGCAGCTGCCGGTACTTTCAGCCAGATAAGTCTAGGATGGCTTGTGCTATAATCGACCAGCTACTGGTATTCCTCCCTGAAAACCATTACCCTCTCAACGTCCTTCCCAGTAGCATCTTCCTCCACCCACGCTCGCCACATCCCTCCGCAATTGAAATCAAACACCACCTTGCCCCGACTTAGCCCCTTCTTCTGCTCCCCGTGCAACCCCGTGACAGTAGCATCCAACACCGTCTCGGCCTCGATCCCAATGATACCCCCCTCGCCTTCCCCAGTCTTGCCCCATCTCCGGCCCGCGGAACGCTGAAGTTCTCCATCCGGGCCGGTAACAGCAGTGACAGCTTCCGCGAGAGTACGGGGAACCGATGACTGGGAGTATCGAAGCATAGCACAGGCGGTGCGAGCCGCCGCCACGCGGAGGAAGGAGTCCCCGTTTCCGGTCCCTGAGAGCGCAACGGCTCGTCGTCTGACACGCCGCGGCGTAGATTCCCGCTCGAGGAGTGCCTGCTTCTCGGAGCTGCGCTCCAGACTGGGTAAACGCGTATCCGGCCACAGCAACCTGTTCACAGCCGGCGGGATACAATCGGCTACCATCCGCCTAATGGCTGAAGCTCCAGAAGAAGCATCCGTATCCGCATCGCGCGGGTTCGACATCGAGGACCGGTATACCATACCCCCGGCCGCGCGCAACACCTCCTCCCACGCCTCAGCCCAAAACCCCGCCCCGAGCGTCGGCGTATCCCCAATCCGCCCAGGAAGCTTATTCGTCAGCCCGCCCGTACTCGTCGCAACAGCCAGATTCCCCCACCGGTCGAGACACACGCACCCGACCGTCCCCTGGCTCATGGAAATGGGCTCCTTCTCGCCCTTCAGCCCGCGCCGATGTTCCTCCCACCGCCTCTTGGTCCAGAACCACCCGTCCGGCTTGAACTCCAGCCCCCATGCCCGAGCAAGCTCCTCCACATACGGCGCCATGAGCTGCGAATGCATGTTCCCCCCGTCGCCGGTCGGGTCGCCGTTGGCGTCGTAGCCTGTGCGGAGGAGACACTCCTTCGCGAGCTGGATCGGGTGCCGGACGTTTCTTAGCCCCATCACGCCTGCACCTCGTTTGATGGAGCCGGGTGTCTCGTCATTGGGGGAATTGTTGACGGTTGTGACCATCACGGAGGCTTCCATTTCGATTGTCCCTGCCGAGGTGAACACGCTGCCGCGCCCGCAGTTGAAGAGCTCGTCGTCTTCTAGCAGTGAGACGGCGTGGACGGCTGCGTCTAGGGCGCTGGCGCCGCTGTTCAGGAGCTCTTTCGTTGAGCGGAGGTAGGAGAGGAGCGAAGCATGGTATCGGGCGTAGAGGTCGGGAGGGAGCGTCGAGCGATGGATATTGCCTGCGCCGCCGTGCAGGATGAGGGTAGGCTTGAAGGTCGCTGGAATGGAGTCGGGCATGGTCGCTTGTTTCGCTGGTCGGGGCTCACAGAGCGGTTGATTGAAGCTGGCTGCATATGACGAAACTAGCTTCCAGGCAGTAAACCCCACAATGCAAAAAGATGCTAAAATAGCCAATCAGACAAATGAAAATCTTCACCAACCAGATAGATTCTTCGATCGAGAAAACCTGCAATCGATATGATGATGACGGGCCGTTGTGTCAGGAGCTGATCGGCGGCCGAAAACCGTAGGCCTTACCCCTCTGCAAAAGTAAGTTTGTCTCCGCCATCTCGAAACCTGGTGCTTTCTGGCCACGCAGCTGAAAAAGTTAAGATAGGACAATGAATGTGTGCTGAGAAGTCAGATTAGACCTGTTTATCTGCATGTTAATGTACAAGAAGTGGATGTGCCCAACAAATCCCAGGGACCTGTGTAGAGAGCTCTTCTTTTCGCCTCCGAGCTAAGCAATAGAAACGCAAGGATTGCAAAAGTGTACAACCCATCATCGCCGGCAAATCCAGTGCTCAGAGACAGTCAAAAAAGTTGGACTAGAAGCACAATACGAAAGCAAAAAACCTCTATGCCATGCCTCGTTGAAGATGAAATGACCAGACCCAACACCTGAGAAGAGAGATACGTAATAATATAGGACATAGATGGGAATTCGGCTGACAGCGGAGGAAGAACTGTAGCTGCGACGGTAGAACATTAGGTGATTTAAGCGATGGCCTTTTCGGAAGACGGAGGAGGCGGAGGGAGCTATTAAACCATCGATGTCAGCCAGAGTCATAAACAAAGTAAAAAGCGGCAAATGCAAGACTCCATACCTCTAGTTTTGTGTTGTCCGCCATCATTCTCTGGAACCCAATACCAACACCCTCAATGACGGCCAGGAAAACACCGCACATGATGGCAGAGTTCCTGGCGGCCTTGACACCACCACGAACAGCCAGGGCACCACCAGTGAAGAAACCAGCAATAACTGCAGAGAAGAAGACGGTTAGAATATGTCACCCAAGTGTGCCGGATCGCCACAGTTTGAGATGTAGAATGAGGAAGTCAACGTACTAGCATTGTAAGGATCCTCCTTCTTCCGGATACCCTTAATTGCGCAATCGAACGTCGAGAACAGACCACCCCAGACACCAAAGTTACCACCGAGGACAGGCGCTCGAGCCTTAATGGCTGTGATAGCACCTATCCGTCTCTCGCCGTAGGGGCTGTTTCTGAAACCCTTCACACCGTGCCAAACCGCACCACCGATAGCCTAAGTCAAAAAATCGAATTAGTTTTCATGTCTTCGCGGTGGAGTACTTGAGTTAGTAGCAGTGTGGACGTACACCCATGCAGAAAGCACCACCGAAATCGCTCAGGGCGACCCAGGGACAGGGATCTCTCGAGTGATCCATTGTGAAACAGGAAGCAAGGAAATAGAAGAGCCTATAAGGAAAAGGCTAATAATCGAATGTATCAAGTAGCCAGACGACTCAATAGATTACTTTGACTGAGTAACCTCGATGGTCCGGTGAAGCGTCACTCCGTCAAAAGCCGCCGTCGACTGTTCCGAGGGTGTCGTGGTGAAGACGATTGATAATTTGTGTAGGTCGACGGCAATATAAAACGGTTAGATATTGCTTCAAAGTAGTGTCAACAGCAGTTGAAGAGCTGCTTATATGGCTGGGGACGAAAAGTGGACAATGGAGAAGCTTTGCGGAGCGCAACAGGTTCTTTTGGCTTTTTTTCGCCAGGAAAACGTGACTTTCGGACTGGTAGGAAGATCACGTGCAGATAACCCGGGGCAGCCCGACTGCTGCAAAAGGGAAAAAGCTAACTGGCTTTGCCACTCCGTCTTATTTTCTACGCGCCTTTTGCGTCAAGGTTTTCACATCTGCGGCAAATGATGACAGGGGTGCGCTAGCAGAGAAGAATTTTCATACAGCCAAGATAAGCTCGAAAAACCTTTATTTAGCATCCCGATTATCCGAATCCTCGTAGAAATTTATCTAGCAGCAATTGGGGTATAAGATCAAAAAGAGAATATATATACAAAATGTCAGCAATAAGAAGGCCTACGAAGGTAGATTCCATATGAAATTCAAGGCGCCGCCTTCATACGCTGGGAATTGCCCCCCGCTGCTAATACTGAATGGCGCCATGGATGGGTCAAATGGAAGAGACAGCCAGTCATTAGCAGCGATGTCATTCAGTGACGGCGTGAACCCCATATCTGACATATTCTGGGGAACTGGAGCATTCATTATCGGTGGGGCATTCTCGTCACTTGTGGCACTTGCGTATGATGGAGGCGCCATTGAGTGCCGTGTCGTTGACCCACGCCGTCTTTTGAGACTCTTAGATGAGGCGACTAAATTTCGTCGCAAGCGCGACACATGGGTCTCCAGCAAAGTAGCGTAGCGTGTGCTTAGGTGGATGTCGTCCAAGGCATTTGACCTCAACGCTTGTATTGTTCTTTCTAGGACATTCAGCGACTCGCGGAGCTTTGCTTGACGCGTTCCCAAGCTGAGTGCTTTCATCAGGAATATGGATGCGCTTGTGATCCTGACGAATATCCGAACTGGTGAGAACCGTAGTGCCCCGATGTCAGCAAGCTGTGTGACCTTTTCCAGTATCTGGCAGCATCCATCTATGACTTCTTGGATGTATTCGTAGTCAATGGGGTCGATGTTCATGGGACGAACTTCTTCCTCATCTGCGTTTCCATCTGCGATCGCACGTTCAACTACAGCCTGCATTCCAACAGAGTGTGTATAGACGCGGACAAAGTGGTATTCGATGAAGATATCGTCATAGAAGGGTTTGTCATGCACTTCAGCTGAAGTCAGTTGTATTTCTTCACGAAACCAAAAAGACAAACCTCAAAAATGGATGTATGATAACTTACATTGCGGCTGCAGATATCGCTCCTTCCACTTGTCAAGTAGTGGACGAAAATGGTCCAGGAGGTCAATATATCGTCCACTCTGAAGCTGCTGTCGTGCGAAAGCAACAGAAGGAAAGAACATGTCTGTGACAGATTTGGCGAGTTTCGTCAGGTCCATCCATGAGTCCATGAATGTGAGCCATTCTTCCCCATATTGGCTTAATTCTCTAGATGTCTGTCGATTGAGGATGGAATGGCTCAAACCTTGGGGCATGAGCGATACGCATCCTATCCGCCACGCCAACTGATTGATATATACGTACAACAACCGTTGCGCCCGCTGCCGTCGCAGGCGCATCTGATCCTTTGTCATGAACCGTTCGTAGGCGACAAAAGCATCGCGTGCTTTATCTCCGGTGTCGTAGATGCCCAACTCATGCGCGAGAGATAATGCGGAGCCGAGAAGCATCCATGACATCTGGTCAGATCGTTTAGCAGGCTCACTCATGTCTTTTGCCCATCGCTTTGCTGACAAGGTGGTGCCTTCATCTCTGCATTCTGTGGTCTCCAGATCTATGGTAACCAGATCGAAATCCCATCCATCACTTTCTGGAGGAAAGTGGAGTGAGCGTGGATGCCAGTCTGAC